CAGAAAACCAGAAGTGGGCTGTGGCTCAAGTAGTAGAGCACTTGCCTTAAGATGAAGAGCTGAGGGACAGCAACCAGGCCCAGAGTTAAAAGCACATGACCCATAAAAGAAAAAAAAAAAAGAAAATCAATGAATTGTATTATAGAATCCAATACCAATTTTGTCTGAGAATAATAATTACTTATTTTAGATTTTTATGACAAGGTCTCCCTATGTAGCCCAGGCTACTCTCTAGTTCTCTATCTTCCTGTCTCAGCACCACTAGTTCTAAGATTACAGGTATTTGTTACCTTGAGAATTTTGTAGTATTTTGATAATTTCAATTTTTCCAAATAGTCACTATCATAATTATGTGCAATACTGTTTATGGCCACTGCTATAAAAGTGACTTTGACCAAAGTACAATATATGCACACATGTAAATACCACAATAAAATCCCTTTGTAAAATTAATTTATGCTAATAAAAATTTTTCAGTATTCGGGGCAATGGCTCACACCTGTAATCACAGCTACCTGGGAAGAAGAGATGAGAACTGTCAAAATCAGTTCAGGCAAAAAGAAAAACCATGAAGACTACACAAACTGAGTGCCAGTGGCTCATGCCTGTAATCCTAGCTCTTCAGGAGGCTGAGATATGAGGATCACAATTCAAAGCCAGTCTGGGCAGTAATGTCCGTGAGACTCTTATCTCCAATTAACCACCAGAAAACCAGAAGTGGCACTGTGGCTCAAGTGGTAGAGTGCTAGCCTTGAACTGAAGAGCTCAGGGACAGCGCCCAGGCCCAGAGTTCAAGACCCACTACTGACCAAAAACACAGGTTATCAAGACCCCATCTCAATCAATAAGCTGAGCATGTGATCCTAGCTAAGGAAGGCTGTAGGTAGGAGGATGATACTGAGGCTAAATTCAAAACAAAAATCTAAGACTCTACCCACCCCCCCCAAAAAAAGCAAAAATGGCTGAGGGGGCTGGGCGCTGGTGGCTCTCGCCTGTAATCCTAGCTACTCAGGAGGCTGAGATCTGAGGATCATGGTTCAAAAAGCATCCAGGGCAGGAAAGTCCATTAGACTTTTATCTCCAATTAATCACCAGAAAACAGGAAGTAGTACTGTGGCTCAAATGGTAGAATGCTTGCCTTGAGCTGAAGAGCTGAGGGACAGCACCCAGGCCAAGAGTTCAAGCCCCACAACCAACCAAAAGATGGCTGAGGGCATGCTCAAGTGGTAGAGCACCTACATAGCAAATACAAGTCCCAGAGTGCAAACTTTTTTTTTTTGGGGGGGGGGCCAGGTCGTGGGGCCTGAACTCTGGGCCTGGGCGCTGTCCCTCAGTTCTTCAGCTCAAGGCTAGCGCTCTACCACTTGAGCCACAGCGCCACTTCCAGCTTTTTTCTTTTTGCTTATGTGGTGCTAAGGAATCGAACCCAGGGCCTCATGCATGCAAGGCAAGTGCTCTACCACTGAGCCACCTTCCCAGCCCAAAGAGTGCAAACTCTTGTATTCCCCCAAAAAGTAACTTGCCATAGGAGTACCTGCCTAGTCAAGTATGAGGTCCTGAGTTCAAATCCCAGTAATACCTAAAACAAAAACAAAAAAATGAAACTCACAAAGGAAGTTAAGAGTAACATGATATAGACCAATAAAATGTTGGCTCCTTCGAGGACTGGGAATGTGGCTTAGTGGTAGAATGCATGCCTGGTATACATAAAGCCCTGGGTTTGATTCCTCTGTATCACATAAGCAGAAAAGCCAGAAGTGGGGCTGTGGTTTAAGTAGTAGAATGTTAGTCTTGAACAAAAAGCTCAGTGACAGTGCCCAGGCCCTGAGTTCAAGCCCCAGGACTGGCAAAAAAAGTTAAATCACAAAGAAGTATTAACTTTGAAATCAGAATATAAAATGTCATCATATATGTAAATACCAAAAGTGCTGCCAATTCTTCATATATAGAAGGCTTCATTAAAATTTTATGAAATGTACAAAAGATGAAAAAATGGTTGATAACAAGATAAACAGGAGATTTCAACTCTATGGGAAGAGAATGAATTCTTGTGTTGACTATAACCTGGCTATGTCCATTTAGCCAATCCTTCAGTCTCCTGTGCCTCAAGATTTCCATTATAACATTACATTAACTCACTTGCAACATACCTTCCAGTCCTATGAATCGGTGAATTTAAGATAAAATCTAGGTCACAGTATAGCATCAAGTCACAAAATCAAGGTTAAGAAAATATATGAATATCTAGAACATAAGTTTAGAAGCTGCTTTTCTCACCCATTTTGCATTTCTTTTGTATTAAAAGAACAAATGTGCTGACAACTGTCCTTTCTGAACCAGTTTTCCTACAGAGAAATCATGGATGCCATATATCCATGGCTTATACAGAAGAGTAATAGTTTATACTGGTTTTACTAAAAGTTTCATTTTGGTTAATTTACGATAACTTCAGTATAAGTGATTTTTTTGGTCAGTTGTGGGATCTAAACTCTGGGCCTGAGCACTGTCCCTCAGCTCTTCAGCTCAAGGCCAGCACTCTACCATTTGAGCCACAGTGCCACTTCCAGCTTTTTTTCTGCTTATGTGGTGCTGAGGAATCGAACCCAGGGCCTCATGCATGCAAGGCAAGCATTCTATGACTGAGCCACCTTCCCAGCTTAGTGTAAGTGATTTTTAAAGGGAACATTAGCAAATAAAAAACATGTCAGGCACTACTGGCTCATGCTTGTAATCCTAGTTACTCGAGGCTGAGATCTAAGGATCACGGTTCAAAGCCAACCAGGGCATGAAAAGTCTGGAGACTCATCTCCAACTAACCACCTGAAAACCAGAAGTAGAGCTGTGGCCCAAAGTGGTGGAGTGCTAACCTTGAGCAAAGAAGCTCAGGGACAGTGCTCAGGTCCTGAGTTCAAGCCCCACCACCGACCAAAAAATTGTAGCTATTTTCTTTCTACAGTCAAGTGCAGAACAAAACATTTTTTTATTCCAGAAAAAAATATTATGCATATATTTGTGGCATTATGACTACTAAGATTAAGATCTTAGATTGTGACTATGAAAAATCTAGAACAAAAATGCCAAGTATGTATTTCAGGAGGAAACCACAAGTTCAAAAATACATACCCCCAAATTGAGCTATCTGTGTGTGTATGCATGTGTCCATGTGTGCATATATGCATGCACCTGCTTTTCCTCCAGTCACTGCTAATGCTCTACCATTTGATAAACTCCTCTACTTGCAGCTTTTTGGCTAATTAACAAGAGGTAAGAGTCTAAAGGACTTGTTTACCTGGGCTGTTTCCAAACCATGGATGCTTGGATCTCAGCTTCCTGAGTGGCTAGGAATATAAGCATTATCCACAGGCACATAGCTTAAGAAAAACTAAAATGTATCTTGATATATCTTTAAAAACATAAATAACAGGGGCTGGGAAGTTGGCTCAGTGGTAGAGCGCTTGCCTTGCATGCCTGAGGCCCTGGGTTGGATTTCTCAGCACCACATAAGCAAAAAGAAAAAAGCTGGAAGTGGCGCTGTGGCTCAAGTGGTAGAGCACTAGCCTTGAGCTGAAGAGCGGAGGGACAGCGCTCAGGCCCAGAGTTCAGTCCCTATGACCGGACCCCCCAAAAAAAGAAAAAACATAAATAACAAAAAATGAACTGCCAGCTGGTAGCTCATGCCTGTAATCCTAGCTACTCAGGAGGCTGAGATCGGAGGACTGTGGTTCAAAGCCAGCCCGGGCATTAAAGTCCAAGAGATTCTTATCTCCAATTGACCACCAGAAAACCAGAAGTGGCACTGTGGCTGAAGTAGTAGGGCGCTTACCTTGAGCTGAAGAGCTGAGGGACAGTGCCCAGGCCCAGAGTTCAAGCCCCATGACCAACAAAAAGAAAAATATGGCCTGGAACATTAAGCATTCAATAGACATTAGCTATGAATTCAGGTTAGCTATCCATTCCTAGTTTGACTTGAGTACTCTAGGTTTGCCCTTGCTGTCCAGGAATCAGTAAAGTTTCTCTTGATTTAAAGTGTCCTAGTTAGGGGCTGGGAAGGTGGCTTAATGGTAGAGTGCTTGCCTAGCATGCATAAAGCCCTGGGTTCGATTCCTTAGTACTATATACACAGAAAAGCTGCAAGTGGTGCTGTGGCACAAGTGGTAGAGTGCTAGCCTTCAGCAAAAGAAGCTCAGGGACAGTGTCCAAACCCTGAGTTCAAGCCCCAGGACTGGCAATAAAAAAAATAAAAATAAAAATTGTCCTGGTTAGTGGAATCAGAATACATGGTTACCTTAACAATGGTGATGACAGTAAAGGAATTAATCGTAATTACAATATTACCTATCAATTACGGCTTTTTGAAAAAAAACCACCACACAAAATGCAAGATGTTGCTATAATTCTACTGATATTTCAATTCATTTTTCACATAACTATTAAAAGGTATTTTATTTATTTATACTTATGTCATTGCAATAATGATTTAAGGCAGCAAAAAAATTGTTCTATGTGTCACAAGTTTGACAAACTTCAGGAAATACTTTAAGGGTAAAGTTGACAGCGGGGCAGTAACTGGTGGCTCATGCCTGTAATCCTAGCTAGGGAGGCTAGGATCTGAAGATCATGGTTAGGCAGGAAAAGTCTAAGACCCTCATCTCCACTTAGCCACCAGAAAATGGCAAGTGGCGCTGTGGCTCAAATTGATGGAGTGTGAGCCTTTAGCAAAGAGTTCAGGGGCAGTGTCCAGGCCAGGAGTTCAAGCCCCACAACTGACAACAAAAAATAAACAGCAAAATTCACAGATAAAGCACTGATCTAGTTCCAGGTACTGACAAGTATTACCCTTTTAATGGGTACTTTGAAAAGCACCCATTCTCATCATGAAGAATGCTCAACACCATCATATTATCAATGAGCCCATTCAACCACAGGGCCTGCAAAATAGAATAAACATTTGTAAACATACATTCTACATATATCAGAAGATGCAACAAAAAATAAATTACCTGACTTATGACATAGTATTGAAACACAAACTGGATTTTAGTTTCTTCACTCTGTTCTAGAAAAAAAAGAATCCATTAGTCTTTCTCATCTTGTATTTTCTTTTAAAACACACCTTAAAAAATACATATCCTACTTATTCTAGAAGTCACACAATTTAACTTGAAACTCAAACTAATTCAAGTTAGTAGAATACTGGGGGACACCAAGGTTAGATGGAATCAGGATTTAGATATAAATTTCCCTTAGAAGTTGAGAGGTAAGCTTGGTGCCGGTGGCTTACGCCTGTAATTCTAGCTACTCAGGAGGCTGAGATCTGAGGATCACAGTTTAAACAGGGTTTAAAGCCAGTCTGGGCAAGAAAGTCTGAGACTCATCTCCAATTAATCACCAGGAAACTGGAAGTGGTACTGTGGCTCAAGTGGTAGAGCATTAGCCTTGAGCTGAAGAGCTGAGGGACAGCACCCAGGCCCAGAGTTCAAGACCCTTGACTGACAAAAAAAAATAAGTTGAGAGGTAATCTACTTTTTAATATAAGCTTGCTTAATATAGGCCTTCCCTTATCAGACCACTAATTATTTGCAGATTCTGACAGTCGACTTCAAGGACTTACTTTGGCACACTATATTACCCCAAGACAGCGAGTAAAGCATCCTTACAGGATCTTAGGCTAAAGAATGTGACATTTTTTTGTAAGAGGAGTTGTCGAAAAACCGTCTTTAAAAGGGCTTGGACTGGTCTTCCTAACAAGTATTTTCATCTTAAAAGAGTAATTTGAAGGCCGGGCGCTGGTGGCTCATGCCTGCAATCCTAGCTACTCAGGAGGCTGAGATCTGAGGATCGCGGTTCAAAGCCAGCCCGGGCAGGAGAGACCGTGAGACTCCTATCTCCAATAAACCACCAGAAAACCGGAAGTGGCGCTGTAGCTCAAGTGGTAGAGTGTTCCCCTTGAGCTGAAGAGCTGAGGGACAGCGCCCAGGCCCAGAGTTCAAGCCCCACGACCGACAAAAAAAAAAAAGAGTAATTTGACCAGAGAGTTGGCCTCTGCTTTCAGAAAATGATTCAGGACTGACTGAATGAGAATATGAAGAGTTACTTTGTCAATACTAAGAGTCAAAAGATTCAAATAAATGAGAGTTTCTTTTCTCCTCTTAAGGCAAGAGACACATAAATACCACGTTTCTTCCACTTTTGAAATGTCCAAAAGCATTTCGGTTAATTCTGATTCAGGAAATGGGATCGTTATTTACAGAAAGTATTAAAACTGTGGGGCCTTGAAAATTTTGAATGACAATCTGACATAAAATCCTCTTGCCCCAAAACAAACAACTACAAAAAAAAGATAACCTAAATAATCAGTTTGCTAGGCCTCAGATTCCTACACTAACCTGTGGAATAAGTATGGTGAAACTGTCCAGGGAAGGAACGTGGCTGTCTCCTCCATTTTGAAATAATCAGCATAAGGGAAAAAGGGACTGAGTATTCAGGAAGCAGAAGCCCAACCGGTTAATACTAGTTACTAAGCTATGGCGTACGTGGCAGGTACCGCCCGCACAAGACCCTTAGGGTTTTTTTTTCTTTAAGGGAGGAGGGGTTGGGTCGCTGGCCGATTGCACGGAAATTAACTTGAAAATAATTTGGCCCAAGTCCCACCCACCCTATCCAGGGAAAAACAACACGCAACGGCTTTTCCCTCTCTTTGCCAAGAGATCCTTCCAGTGATATCTGGGCGAAGGATACCCCAGGGTTATATGAGCAAGGGAATAAAACCACATTTGCCTTAGATCTTCAGGGACGATGTCATCGCGACCCCAGAGGGGGCTCCTAATTGCTAGTTCTCTACAGAGGGTTCAAAATGGGGTATGGCAAATCCTGGGTGTGTGTGTGGGGGGGGAATCTAAAGGCCAGAATCTGACTTAATTAAGAGGAGCCTGGCCCTACTTCCCCCCTTTTCCCAGCCCAACCCAGACATGTAAAAATGCCAAGCGAGGAGGGAAAGGTCCCATTAAGGCAAGAGAGAAAAACCTGAGACACTATGATTCTCATGCCTGAGGCCAAAACTGGAAAAGCGCCTCCCCGAAATACTCCAGGCTCGGGTTCCATGGAGCCGCCCGCCGAGAGGAAGTGCTACCCACCTCAGTGCCCTTCTTCAGTGAGCCCCACGGCAGAAAGAGAGACCGAGAGCGAGAAAGATATAGAGAAGAGAGATAAAAACCCAACTAAAATGGCAGCGGCGACGACGCCACCGAACCCCCCACAGAAACGGGCCTGGGGTCCGGCGGCGACATTAAGCCTCCGCCACTGAGAGCTTCAGTCGGGCCATTTTGAGGGAACCCGATCGCGGCGGCCCGTCTTTCCTCCCTCATTTCTTGGGACTCTCAGACCTTTACTTACCCGGTTTTAGGCTCACTCTCAGTTCGACCAACGCCACTCAGGCTCCCGGGCGCCTCCCCGGCAGTAGCTCTCAAGCCCGCCTCTGACAGAGTGGCTGCTGGAGACCCGCCTCTAACCCAGCGCTTGCTCTGAGGCGTAGCTTAAGCAGCCATTATCTTCCCCATTGTTACTAAGCAATGACAGGAAACGACTGCTCACAACAGGAAGTGATGATGCGGCGCTCGGCGCGGCCCCACAGCACCCCTCACAGCCTGCCAGCCAATCAGAACGGCTGGCTCCACAGGGCTCGGTGAAGAGTTTTTTTTTTTTTATTTTTTTCCGGAGGGGGAGGGGAACACAGGCGCCTCACGTCGGCGGGCGCGGGCGACGAGGTAGAAAAGGAAAGCTGCTGTGACGCCCACCATGTGACTAGCCCCACCCTCCCCGCCATTTTGAATTGTGGCGAGAAATTTGCCTTCGGAGAATTGTGGGAATCTTTGCATTCCCATTTTGAAAAACTGAAGGACGTTACCTTCAGATTGCTGGAAACTTTTTTTTTTTGCCTTTTTAACAGAGAAAAATGATATCTGCCTAACCCGACAGACATACACTCTCAATCCAGGCCAGTGCGTCTCATACATTTTCTTTAATATGTAATATAAGCGCTAACTGTAGGCAAACCCCTTGAAGGTGGTGAGGAAATGAAAACTTAAGAACTCTTTAATAACCTACGGGGGAGGGGAGGCGAGTGGGAATAAACTTTTATATGCGTGATTTTCAATGCTAGGAGATAAAGTTGGGACCCTGGATGGGACAGTAGCCCTGTGGGAGCAGCTGGGAATTGCAGTGATTAAAATGCGAGAAAAACGCTGAGGTACTTAGAAAGGGGCGGGGACTGGAACCGGATGGGAAAATCTGATAGCTGTGGAATTCTAAAAGTGCAGAAAGCTGTCCTGAGACACGGCAGGTAATGCCTGAAGGAAGGAATGTGGAAAATGTTCTACCCCGGAACCAACTGCAATTGTCACAGTTTACAAGTTAAAAAATTTAAACCAGATTTGAATGCGCTTCTGTTTGCCCCCATTTATTTTTCTGTTTTCTGATGAAATGGCACGTAGGCTAGCTTTCTTACTATTTTTCCAACAGATCTAATTTTTTTTCCTGCCTCAACTGTTGGATGTAGGCTGGAATAAGTTGCCTTTCAGATCTTTCTTGCAACTGTCATCATTATCACCGTCCCAGAGAAACCTTCCCTGACGACTCAATCTCACATAACCACTTCTCCCATACTTTTACACGCTTAATCTTCTGTAACACATTTATCAAAACATATTATTTGTTTAACCTACCTCTTAAGAGCAAAAAAAAAAATCAGGAAACCTCTGCCGTGTTCACGGTTCTGTCCTCACTTATGCTTGGGTTCAATCTCTAGCACCACATAAAAATGCAATTTTGACCTACACTAGCTAATACTGCATTTGTTTTAGACAAGGTCCTAGGTAAAACTGCTCTGAAACTCGATCTTCCTGTCACTGCTTCCTAAGTGTTGGGATTACAGGTATGATCCACCATACTTGGTTTACCCATGTGCTTTCTACCTGTATGTGTCATCCAAAAGATTTTTTTAGCCCTACTTGATGAAGTGTCTTTTAGGAAAAAAAATAGTAAACACATTTTCTTCGGTCCCTTCCAAGAATTTGCTAATATCAGTTGCTCCCTCAGTAGGACCTCACACTAGGCTACAGAGGGAGGTCAATTATCAGTGTAATGAACATTACAAAGGAGAGAAGTATACAAATGGAAAAGTGTAATACGAACCTTTAACTAAGAAAAGCTGCCATTATTTTAAAAGCTGACACCCCAGGAAAGAATGATCCTCCTGGAGCATAAAGCAGCAACCTGGAGAGAGGCAATGATACTGTGTAAATAACCTAGAGTGAGAAAGTAGACCTGGGAAACAGAAGGAAAAGCCTTTTTTCCCCAGCAAAGATTCCATTTTATTTCATCTTTTCAGTCGTGGAGCCTGAACTCTGGGTCTGAGGCTGTCCCTCAGCTCTTCACCTCAAGGCAAACACTCTACCACTGACGCACCTTCCCAGCCCACATTTTATCTTCTTCCAGGCATACAGTTCTCTGGAATTTACTTGGTCTGTTTGCTTGTTTATTGACTTTATTTGTATGTTTATACTCAGTCACTTTTCCTGCTATCCAGCTCTCACCCCTCCAATCCTAACCTCTAGGGGAACTAAAGCTGCTCCATCTCTTCACCTGTATTTTCTGAGGCCTAAAATACTTAATAGCCACTCAATCAGTTTCTTGCGTGATAAATGAAGTATGATATAGTTCATATCACAAATTTTTGATCTTCTCTTTTTCTTCAGATATTCCCTACAATTTTATTAGAACCCATTAGTTGCGCAAGAGGCTTCAGGGTTTTTGTTTTTTGTTTTTTTTTGCCAGTCCTGAAGCTTGAACTCAGGGCCTGGGCACTGTCCCTAAACTTCTTTTGCTCAAGGCTAGCACTCTACCACTTGAGCCACAGTGCCTCTTCTGGCTTTTTTTCTGTTTATGTGGTACTGAGGCATCAAACCCAGGGCTTCATGAATGCTAGGCAAAAACTCTACCACTAAGCCACATTCCCAGCCCAAGAGGGTTTATTTTGACACACCTATATATGCATACAAGATACCTTTGTCAGACTCACTCTTCCTCATCCTAACTCCCTTTGCCCAAACTAATTTCAACATGCTTCATCATTCTATTTTCACACATGTACTTGAAGTATTTTGACCTTCCACCTCTCTGTTTACCACCCCCCACCCCCACACACGTACACTAGTACTCATACCTTGACTGGACCTGGTTTCCATTCCTGCCATTCATTTTTTGGGGGTATGCTAATTGCTCCATCAGCTTTTGGTTTTTGGATTTTATCCTAAGAGCAATAAGAAGTTTTAAAAAGAAGAGCCCCATGGGGGGAGGGAAAGAGGGGGAAAATGAGGGGGGTAACAAGTTTCACTACCTTACTTATGCAATTGTAACCCGTACTTTAAGTCACCTTGACAATAAAATTAAAATAAAATAGGAGACCCCAGGCACTGGGGTCATGCCTATACTCATGCCTATAAATCCTGGCTATTCAGGAAGCTGAGATCTGAGGATCTTGATTCAAAGCCAGCCTTGGCAGGGGAGTTTGTGAGACTCTTATCTCCAGTTAACCACCCAAAAGCAGAGCTGTGATTCAAATGATAGACTGCTAACCTTGAGCACAAAAGCTCAGGGACAGCACATAGGCTCTGAATTCAAGCCCTATGTATGGCACACACACAAAAAAACTCTTTAAAGATAATGTTTGACTTTGTTTTTTATAAAGTAGTATTCAAAAGAAGGAATTCTATTTGTGGTTGCTTTGTGTTTGAACTACTTTTTTTTCTCTATAGAGATAGGATTAGTGTTTGAATATACCAGTATTCTGCTGTCTTTTAAGAAACCCAACTGATTATGTGGGAAAAAAACACAAGATACCTATTTACTTAATTTAGTTATTGCTTCTAATTTCTAGGGAACTTTTTCTTTTACCTTTTGAATAAAAATCATGAGCTTAAATCATCTTAACCAGAAAAACAATGCTTAGTTGCTTCCATTTTACCAGTTTGCTCTTTAGTAGCTCACAATAAACTTTAAGATATTAATGAATTCTTTTTTTTTTTTTTTGGTCAGTCGTGGGGCCTGAACTCTGGGCCTGGGTGCTTTCCCTCAGCTTTTCAGCTCAAGGCTAGTGCTCTACCACTTGAGCCACAGCGCCACTTCCGGCTTTTTTCTTTTTGCTTATGTGGTGCTGAGGAATTGAACCTAGGGACCATGCATGCAAGGCAAGCACTCTACCACTGAGCCACCTTCCCAGCCCCTGAATTTTTTTAAATTAAATATTTTTATCATTATTATAATGGTGATGTAGAGAGGGGTTACTGTTTCATAAGTCAGGTAATGAGTACATTTCTTTTGGGACAATGTCACCCTTTCCTACTCTCTCCCAGTTTTTCCTTCCCATCCCTGCCCACAAGTTATATAGTTCATTTTCAATATGTCTACTGAGTACAACTGCTGTATTTGTTCACCCTTTGTCCCTCCATTTCTGCGATGATTGAATTCTTGCTCTTTAGTTGCCCTAAGGAATAGAGTTGCTGGATAGAAAAACACAAGGGACAATTGGTCATTGATTAAAATTAATATTTAGTTATTTATTTCTTGCAATCCTAGAGAATGCTAGCCAAGAGCTCTACCACTGAACTACATTCCCAGCCCACTGACTAATTAATTTATTCATTCACATAAGTTATTCATTTAATAAAAACCAAGAGTCTTGGGCTGGGAAGTTGGTTTAGTGGTAGAGCGCTTGCCTCGCATGCATGAGGCCCTGGATTCGATTCCTCAGCACAACATAAGCAGAAAAAAGCCAGACGTGGTGTTTTGGCTCAAGCAATAGTAAAGCACTAGCCTTGAGCTGAAGAGTTGAGGGAGCGCCCAGGCCCAGAGGTCAGCCCCCATGACTGACTAAAAAAAAAAAAAAAAAACAAGTCTTAGCTCTGTGCTGGGCCCTGCGGCTACAAATAATATCTCTGTTCTGAGCATGCTCACAAACCAGAAGAAGGGCATCCTGGGAGCATATCTTTTCATCTACCGTCATTTTGCAATATGTGCAAGACAAAACTAACTTGTTTAGTCAGTCTGTCTCAGGAATCCAGGAAATGATGTTAGAGGTGGCTCACAAGTCTTTATTTATCAGAGGTCCTCTCAATAAAGGTTAGGGAATGAGGGTACTTAGAGAATTACTGTGTTAAGCTCTATACAAGGTAAATTCTATACAAGCAAATTATATTCATGGATGTCACAAGGGAACCAATTATTGTGTACAATTAACGTACCATAAAATTTAAAAAGGAAAAAATCTGGGCAATTGGTAGCTCATGCCTATAATCCTAACTACTCAGGAGGCTGAGATCTGAGGATCGAGGTTCAAAGCCAGCCCAGGCAGAGAAGTCCCCATGGGACTCTTATCTCCAAATAACCACACTAAAACCAGAAGTGGTACTGTGGTTCAACTGGGACAGCATCCAGGCCCTGAGTTCAAGCCCCACAGCTGACAAAAAAAAAACAGGAAAAAAGGGAGAAAGATTACAGAGTGATGTACAC